CAACCACCAAAGCCAAAGATGAGGAAACTGAAAATTTTTACTAACTTCTGCAGCCTGAAATTGACAAAACATGCAATCAAGATGTGTTGATTATCACTGGTGATTGGAATGCGAAAGTTAGAAACAAAGAAGAGTTTACCAGTAGTTGGAAAATATGGCCTTAGAGATAGAAATAACAGTAGAGATAGTATAATAGAATTTTGCAAGACCAACAACTTATTCATTGCAAATACCTTTTTCAACAATGTAAGCAACAACTATACAAGTGGACTTCACCATATGGAATACATGGGAATCCAATTGACTAGATCTGTGGCAAGAGGCAATGGAAAAGTTCAATATCTTTGGCCAAAACAAGGCCAGGAGCTGATGGTGGAACGGATCATCAACTGCTCATGTGCACATTCAAGTTGAAGTTGAAGACAATTAAAACAAATCCACTAGAGCCAAAATATGACCTTGATAATATCTCTCATGATATAGAGACTATTTAAAGAATAGATTTGATGCATTGAACACCAATGACTGAAAACCCAAAGAATTGTGGGATGATATCAAGAATATCATCCATGAAGAAAGCAAAAGGTCATTAAAAAGAAAGGAAGAAAAAAACAAAATGGATGTCAGAAGAGACTCTGAAACTTGCCCTTGAATGGAGAGTTGCTAAAGCAAATGGAAGAAATGACAAGATAAGAGATGAACAGAAGATTTCAAAGAGCAGCTCAAGCAGATAAAGCCAATTACTATAACAAAATGTGCAAAGATCTGGAGTTAGAAAACCAAAAGAGAAGAACACACTTGGCATTTCTCAAGCTAAAAGAACTGAGGAAAAAATTAAGCTTCGAGTTGCAATACTGAAAGATTCTATGGGCAAAATATTGAATGATGCAGGTAACATCAAAAGAAGATGGAAGGAATACACAGAGTCCCTGTACCAAAAAGAATTGGTTGATGTTCATCCATTTCAGGAAATGGCATATGATCAAGAACCAATGGTACTGAGAGAAGAAGTCAAAGCTACACTGAAGGAATTGGTGAAGAACAAGGCTCAAGGAATTGACGGAATACCCATTGAGATGTTTCAACAAACAGATGCCCTGCTAGAGGCACTCACTTGGTAATCCCAAGAGATTTGGAAGACAGCTACCTGGCCAGCTGACTGGAAGAGATCCATATCTGTACCCATTCCAAAGAAAGGTGATCTCACAGAATGTGGAAATTATTGAACAATATCATTACTATTGCATCTAAGTAAAATATTACTAAAGATAATTCAAAAATGGTTGCAGCAATATATTGACAGAGTACTTCCAGAAATGAAAGCTGGATTCAGAAGAGGATGTGGAACAGGGATATCATTGCTGATGTTAGATGGATCTTGGCTGAAAGCAAAGAATACCAGAAAG